GCCCCGCCTCACTCCATGAACTGATGCTGCAGTGCTGGAGGCGGGAGGCCGATGAGAGGCACACTTTTGAGTACCTGCAGTCCTTCCTTGAGGACTACTTCACCGCCACAGAGCCACAGTACCAGCCTGGAGAAAACCTGTGATCACACCCCCGCTGGACACACGGAGCAATAAATGAATAAACAGAGACAGACACACATGTACTGTACACTGATAGGCATATGGCAGTACATGTATGTACTGTTATAGTATTTGTTGCTCACATACCACACATGGGTTCACACATATAGGCACACAATACGCACATAAAGATACATATCATTCCCTGTGTAATTGTTTAAAGACAGTTTCCTCCCTTTGGTCATCGATCACTGCAGCCCATTCAGGACAGATCAGTCCACCATGCTGAAAAGTCGGAGCTCTGCTGCTCAGGCCTTGCAGTAATGTTGCTTTACTCTGTAACCATGACAACAAAGAACTGGAAGAAGATGTTGCGTTGAGGTGGGGGGTGGTTGAGTTGGTACATAATCTGTTCAGCTACCATATATGTTCAGGTCCTTTGGTGAGAAGAGTGTTTTAGTAGATTAACTCTTTACCTGAGATAAATATGTTGAGACAGAAATGAGAGAAAGTGCAACAGGTTATCAGACAGTTGGAACGCTGTCTGGGAAAAATGTCAACATGAGCCTGCGTGGTGACTGAGTAGATTATGTATTGACAGGGGTTTAAAAATGGTCATTCCTGCAATGACTGAACAGAGGTCTGTTTTCGGTCTTGTCATTGTAAGAGGCTGATGAACTGATCCCAGATCCATATCCCTCTCTAGACAGGAGAACAGGTTTTTAAAATTACACCATGTGCCTTAATGCAATCAAATTAAAGTCTGTTTTAGATTTTAAGTATCTTGAATACTGTTTTAGCAACACTGGAGAGATGGTAAGGAATGTGCTTTGTCTCATGATTATTCTTATGACAATTTGGTAATTTGGTATGAGCTGTCTCTTTTGTTGTATTAATTTAACTCAGATATATCTGTGCATCACAAAGACTTCTGGAACTAGCTAACATGTATACAGTCTTCCTCTTCTGAGAGGTGAAATGTTACATATAAACAGGAAAAAAAATCAGCGTCAGTGGAGAGATAGTGTTTTATTGTATTTTCTTGACAAGAATGTAACCTTTATGTTGAGATACCCCTGTCATGTTATTTTAATAAAAATCAGATATCTTTATTGTTGTTGATATCTTTATTAGTATTGTTTTTATGATTTTACTAAAGTAAATTTCTGAGGCTGATGTGAAGAAGCATTTTTGTGTTTTGTGCTTTAAACCAAAAGCCATATTTTGGTGTTCTTTTGTGTCTGTACTCCGAGTTACAAAAAAGAAATGTAATGAGTTGCTCAAAAACGGAGCCAATTATGTAGCGGCTATTTGTATGGCTTCTAGGCTAACATATTGACTTACAAGGTACCTAAAGAAAAACTTGAAAAGATGTGCTTTAGAGCAGGCCTGAAATCATACCAAATATTTGTAACTATGAGTTTTTATTATAAAACATGACATGACATCTGTCATAGTTATCAGACAAATCTTTGTTCAACCACTCTTTCTCTCACAGTTTCTTGCGCTCATTGCTGTTGTTTTAAGTAAACTACTGTACCCATAGTTCCAGAGCTATAATGTGAGGCCAGCTACGGGTGCCCGGATGGCTTTGACAGTCAGGCACGTTGGAGAGGCACAGCGGAGACTGGGGCGCACGAGAGACGGAGAGCTGGAATTGCAGAGGCAGAGACGCACGGGCGCACGGTCGATTTTCGCCTCCCGCATACTGGGGAGTCCCGTGCCTGTCGCCAAAACCGGACCATAGAGCTCGAGCGCAGCTGTGTCAGCACCTTAATTAGGGAGAAGAGTGTAAACCAACGTCCCCGCTCCCTATTTTTCTGTTACATTTCTCCACCTTTTGTTTTTTTCTTTCTCATCTCTGTGGGTGCAGATATTGGTGAGAGCCAGCTGAGTGGTTTTGTGGTTGAGCCGCACGAGACGGTGGCGCGCGACGGCAGGAGGAGATAACGTTTATACTGATGTGGGAGGACTATCTCCTTCTAGTGCAGGGAGCTCAGATGAAGGGGGAATGCTGCTCGCTGACGGCTGCAGCCGTCAAGGCAAGGGCTCCGTGACACGGGCGAGGAGTGAAGTGAAGCACCGTCACCGACAGCCAACGCGAGCTGCCAGCCCCTCAGCCAGCGTTGACTCCTAATCAGCTCCAGCAGCCAGCGTAAGCATCCAGACTCTCTCTCTCTCTCTTCCATGGTGAGTGCAGCGTCTTGTGTACACAACACCAAAAAAAAAATTTGCTTACTGTCCGTTCAACCAGCTGTGCTGCACACCTCTGGCAGCGTAACCTCATAGGTGCCGTCAACGGACGCAGCTCTGCATGCGTACAGCTCGTGCTGCTGGGTCATCTGGGCTTTACTGTGGGCTGCAGCGTGTGGTTAAATCTTAAATTGTGCTGTTCAAACACACGCACGCACACACAATGTGGTTGAATGTACGCGCATTTAACCTTGTGTACCCCCACCTGTTTTCCCTGACTATTTACAATATTTCCATCAATTAGCCTCATTATCCCAAAATGTATATAGAGTGTAGGCAGAGCATCAGTATAGAGTACCTCCCAGGTGCTGTCATACTGCTGGCACATACACATAGACACAGAGCTTTTTATTTTGCTGTCTCTATAGATTGTACCTGTGGGTAAGTTTAATGGGACTTTTCTCATAATGAATTTACGCACCAGAGGTGTGACCATGAGGCTCTTGATGGACAGGCGTTTGCTTTCCCTGTGAACAGGAGACACATTGAACACTCGCTCCAGGGGCAGCCCCTCTGAGCTCTCAGGCCAGTTAGGCAGGACACACCAGCTGCACATCCTGCAGTGGCAACAGGGCCGCTGTGCTGGAGAGACATGGTGTACTCGTGGTGATTATCAACTCTTGTCTGTGGTTTAGTGGAGGGGAGGGGCTGGGGGGTGACAAAGGAAGAAAGAGTGCATGAGAACCTCAAAGAGAGAAGAGGGAGAGAATGAAAGGGAGAGAGAAGTCAATGTCAGTCTGGGCAATGACAGTTCATTATTTAAGGGCCCCAAAGAGAGGCTGTCCTAGTGCAGGTGCTGTTAGTATGCAGAGTGATGCTCTGTCTGTCTGCCTGCCTGTCTCACGCTCACACAGTCTCGCCCTCTCGGTTGCTGACTGAAGAGTGAGTTCTGTTATTGGCAGGTCCACTTGGACATTATGAATAATTTCAACCCTCTGAATGCTGGAATGAAAAGGAAATGGCCTTACCCTGGCATGCAGCCGGCGGTCTGTCAGACTTGTCTTGAGTGCATGCCCCTGTGCGTGTGTGTGTGTGTGAGAGAGACAAATAGAGAATGTGAACATATAAGAGCTTAGGCCTATTGTGCTTCCTACCTGTGTGAGCGGGGCTAGTTGTCATAGCAACGGCCTTGTAGCTCCGTTGATGTTCCTCTTGTCCTCATTGGCAGGGTCAGCACACCTAGCACACCACATCTCCTTTCAAACCTGTGTGTGTATGTTTCTGTGTGTATGCATGCACTTGTGTGTTTCCAAGTGTGTGTGTTTGTACCTTTTGTTTGTGCCTAGTTGCATTTTGTAGGTGTGAGTTGATGGCCCAGCAAGCTTGAAAGCATGTGCATGTGTGTGCGCACATGCATATGTGTTGTAGTGTCACAATGATACACCCTGCTGATATGACAGCCGATGGCTCAACCAATCACCTGTTTTTTTCTCTCTGCCTATCAGCATGTGAGGGTGGCGTAGTCAGACGTCCTCTTGATATGGAGGTCGTCATGGAGATGCAACAGACAGAATGGACACACATACAGTATTTTTGTATGCACACCCACATGTGCAAACACACAGACTCACTCGTGGAACTGAACGGTGACATCCACTCATTTCTGATGTTTTGGGGAAGTTCTGAGTTGCACTCAGGATGGTTTAACCTGTTGAATGGTGGAATTAAAAGAGTGACGGTTCATTGATGCCTCAGGTCAAAGCATGAAGTAGATTAGTTTGATAGACTCAATCATGTATTGACAATCTTTATTTGTTTACCTTAAGCTATCAGACCACACATGCACTTTCATCAGACAGAGCTTCAGTAATCCAAATCAGAGAGGATATCCTATCAGAGACTGAGTCTGTTCAAACGCTGCTTCTCCCAAAACAATCTCAGACTTCTCCTTAAACCTATACGGCATCTCAGTTCATGAATTTGGCTTCTAGCTGTGTGCAGGATTTGTCAAATGCAACAAAGAGCTTTTATTTTTCTTTTGGTTACAGATGTTTTGCAAAAGTCAGAATGAATTGAAGATCATTCCTTCACTCCTCTTTGAACTCTTCACAGCGGATATATTACTGCCATTGAGAAAAAGGGAATTTACACCAACGTTGTGAATGAGTCAGGCCATTATTACTCAGCACTTGAAATGCCTCCCAAAATACACAAGAAATTGATTTTAGGGCACAGATAAACAACTTCCATTTATTCACAATGACAGAGTCTGGTTGGTCACCCACAGTACTGCATGACTTCATTGTTAAAAAACAACCTACTTTACACCTTGCATTTTAATATTAAGTAATAGGACATTTTAGGAATATTTTACTTATATTTTTTACTTTGCAGCAAGCTTGCAAAATAATTAATAATTTCTTTGTCCTTGGAGTGAAGGGTTCTGCCTCTTACAACTCCTATTAATCTAATCATCACCTGAAGGAAATAGCTTTTGCCACAGGCAGGTAAATGTGGTTAAACTCCCACACACACACACACACACACACACACACACACAGAAAATACACGCACATACACAGAGACAAACCCACACACAGAGCAACCATTTAGCATTAGTGTAAGCAGTGTTTGTATGCTCCATTCTGTCACCTCCCACACGATACATTCATAAAACGACTCCTCTGCGCCAAAGGCACTGACTCAATAGAAGACATCCCCCCTTCTCTTTTCTCTCACCTCACTCCCTCCTATAACCCCTCTGCCCCCACCATCTATATGTCCTATACTCAGTCCCTTCTTCTTCCTACATGTCCTTCCTCACATACCTCCTCATTCTCTTTGTCCCCCCCCCAACAGGGCTGGTTGCAGCCGGTTTGAGTCTGACAGTGGAGAGGGAGCTTCGACCTCTCACCTCTGGAGGATGGAGGGAGGGAGGCAGGCAAGAGGAGAAGGATGATAGAGGGCAGCGAGATGGAAGGATGGAGGAGAGCAAAGTGGGGTGAAACTGCAAGAGGCGAGGGAGAGGTCAAAGAACAGGAGGGATTTGTGAAGAAAGAGGGAGAGGGGAGCTGGGGAAAGGGGCAGAGAGAGAGATGGAGGAGTAAGGAAGGAAAAGGAGTGATAAATGAAGGGAAGAGTGGCAAGATGTGAGGATGAGGAGGAAGAGATAGAGAGTGTGAAAGGATGAGAGGGAGAGAAAGACAGAGTGTGAAGCTGCTGTGTACCTCCCTAACAAGCTGGACAGAATCACCTCAATAATTAAATAGGAGCGAGAGATGGGGAAAACACACAGACACAGATGTATACGCGTACGCACAAAAACATCTCTCTGTGTCTAGTACACAGTGCATACTCACCGTCTCTCACACACACATGCACACCTATCTGCAGATCAACATGCATGCACGTGTACAGTATGTCTGACTGTTATGTTTTCTTCTTCGTGCGTCAGAGTGGTCTTTGTTTTTAGGGGTGTGTGAGTGTGCGTTAACATGTGTCTGGGTATGTGTGTTGAAAACAGTGAGTCAGAGGATAAGCAGAGATATGGTAGTGATTCTCCTCAACACCCCCCACCCCCACCCAGTTTGGCTTCAGCGCTGTCTCAAAGTTCCATCAGCGTCGTTTCAATCTCATCCTATCAATATGAACAGATAATCAGAGCACTAAGGGGTCTGTTTATAAATCCTTGCCATGAATATAGTTTTTGCCCTCTGCTCATCTTTTCATTTCTCCCTCCTCCTCCTCTCCCCTCTTGCCCGTTCCACCCTTGTTTCTAGTTCTCTTTATTTCTCTTTTCCCTCCTTCACTGAGGAAGTGTATGCCCCCAAGGGATGAAAGGATTCGCTACCTTCCAGGAGATTGAGTGTGTGTGTCTCTCTCACTCTCTGTTTCTGTGTGTCCTCCACATGTGTGCATGCCAGGATGATAGTGTGTGTGTGCGTGAGAGTGAGAGCACACACTTCCTGAGACAGAAAGGCAGAGAGAGGGAGGGATGAGCAAGTGAGAGAGTGAAAGCAGGAAGCTGTGGAGGGGGACGAGAGAGAAAGAGATAAGAGAGAAAGACAGAGTAGTTGGGGAGAAGAGGGAAGATGGATGAATGCGCTGTGCACTGAGTGTGTGTATGTGTGTGTGTGTGTGTGTGTGTGAGAAAGAGAGAGAGATGGTAGAGAGATGCAGGTAGACAGAGGGACAGAAAGGTTTCTTATCCTCTCAGCAGAAGTCATAATTTCTTAGAGCCTGCACAGATGTGTGTGTGTGCTTGTGTGTCTGAGTGTGTTACCTCGTTCAGGCTTGAGGCCAAGAAGGTACAGTGGTGTAGAGTCTCTGCGTAGTGTGAGGAGCCTATGTGTGTCTGTGTGTGCTTTGTGAGAGGTGTCTATGTTGAGGCTGTGGCTGATGAGCTGTCAGTACCTACAGTTGGAATGTTCACAAGGCGGCCATTGTTGTTCAAACAGCCAGCAGCCTTCTCCTTGGCAACGGGCGCTGCAGCAGCGTCTCCCACAGCAACTGTGGAACAGGAGTATGGAGGGAAGGAGGAGGAGTCAGGAAGTCAGGGCCGCAGCACAGAGGCCCCTCTCCAAAACACTGGCCTCAAGGTCTGAGTGTGTGTTGGGATCCAAGCATCTGGTTTGTGTGTCCTCTGTGTGTGAGGTAGATATGCATGACTATGTTTATGTGTGTTGGCATGTGTGGTTCTTAAGTGAGTTCTCGTCAGCATGACTACGTGATGTATGCGTCACTGTGAGCTTGCAGTTTGTGCGTTTTTCCGTATTTGTGTATACACAGCAGCTCAGTGTGTCTGTGTACACCTGTGTAAGTGGGAGTGTTTCTGTGTTTGCACCTAAGAGGTTGGTTTCATCTTCCTGTTTTTGTATATGTTTTGTGTGTTTTTAGACATATCCCTGTGTGTCCTTGATTGCATATAATCCTGTATGTATTTTTGCATGTGCACATGTGCACACTCCTAGCTGTTCCCAGCTGGTGCGGTTGGTCACATGATCTGACTGAGGGGCAGCCATCAGCAGTGCCAGGAAACTGCCTGCAGGAGAGAGAGAGAGAGGAGCGAGGATGTCAGGCTGAGTTGAAGATGAGGGAGGGGTGTTGGGAAGTGGGAGAGAAACTGGGGGTGGGAGGTGTATGTGTGTGTGGGAGGGGGGTGCTAAAGAGATGAGAGAAAGAACAGTAGGGAAGAGAAGTGAGGAGGGGGGCTGAGGGAAGAAGAGGAAGGGGTAACACAGTCCTCCTCTTAAAATAACTACTGCATGTAGGTTCCTGCAGAAAGTACAGGAGAAAGACAGTCAGTGAGACAGATGGGGGTGGGGGGGGGTCCTGGTTGTGTGTTGTCAAGCTACTTCTCCAGTCCCCTGTGTGCATCCTTGGCTGAGCTGCCACTGTGTCTAGTCTGTGTGCAGTTTGTTTACGGTAGATGCATGTCTGTGTGTCTGTCTGCCTTTTTGTTTGTCTGCACATATGGTTTATGTGTTGGTCTCTGTTCATTTATATGCCTTGTGTGCATTTGTGTATGTGTGTGCGCACATGCATGCTCTTGGCAGAAGATCCAGTGTGCACACTGATGATGGAGATCATTAGGAATTTCCTGCAGCTGGGGAAATGGTGATGGTTATTTTTTAGGGGGGCAGAATGAGTGGGATGTGAGAGGGTGAGAAAGAGGGAGAGGTCACAGTGAAGGAGAGTTTGAATGGGTGAGTAGGGGGTGAGGGTCTGGATGTTATTGTGTTTGTTGGACAGTTTTTTAAACTGATGTGTGTGCATGAAGCTGCAACCCATCAAAGCCCATAGTTCAGCTCCAGTTTGAAAGGTTGTTGGTGGTAATCTGTGTGCAGGCATGTCAGCCCCAGTAGTGCTATGTGTGTGTCTAACATTCCTTGCCCTCTTTGGCACACTTACACACACCTCAAGCCCTCAAACAACCCAGGCCTGTTGACCGGAGCAGTTGGATGCACTTAAATTTGAGCTGTTTCTTGTTACTGCATGTTGGGCTACAATGCACTGCGGTCAAGGCTAGACTGCAGCTTCAGTTTTGCTGTTTTTTTCCATTTTGATGAATAAAAAATTTTCTGCAGTTTATTGAATAAGATACAGTATTGAAATTGTTTCCCCACAGTGGGAAGAAAAATTGTGCTTTCGTATCCCATATGTCAGCATATGATCATGAGTTCTGATTAGGTTGGGCCCATGTTAGGAAAGTGTTCTTGTGTTGTTGTGATTACGGCTGAATTTTAATGTTTTTTTTTTTTATCTTAAAGGTGTGACATGACAACGTGCAATAGAAATAGATTTCTCTTTCTTTTCTTTTTTTGATTTATGCCACTCCACACTCAGAGGCTTATAGTTGTGTGTTTGAATTGATTACTACATACAGTGAGTGTTTACAGTTTATCAGCCACTTTAAAGTGATGCTGTGTAATGTCATGTAGTGTGTAATGTTCCACTGCCAAAGTCATTCAGACGTCTGCCATCTGGAATACAACATGGCAAACTCCTTTCCCCACCAATTTCCACTGAACATACCTCATGAGAGACATGAAGCTGTAAGCATCAAGTTATCTAATAGTTTTGTTAATTGGCTTTTGCTGTCTTCTGAATAAGGTTTGCATTGTTGTGTGTTCTGTGCAGGTTTGAGGCTGTTGAAGCAGCAGGCAGAGGTTGCATCAGGGCTGAGGTGGTGTGGAGGAACTGATGGTAGCTGCGTTGCTGCACGGTGTCACTCAGTCTCTGCGGACCCCCTGACCCACTTCCCCCTCCCCACCTCTCTTTCTCTCCTGGCCTCACATACACTTTCTCCATCTCTCCCCTCTCTCTGTTGTATCCCCCTTCTTCTTATCTGTCTAAACCTCTCTGTGAAGCCCCCCTCCTCCCCTCACCACCTCTCTCTCACTACCTCTCTCTTTCTCTCTCCCCTCCATGTCCCCCCCTTACACCCCCCCATGCTGTTTCAGTGCTGCTGCCTGTCTCTTAGCAACAACTGCACACCCGTTAGAGCTCAGTGAGTGCTTTTACAAACACACCCAGGAAGACACACTCTTACACAGGCACGCTTGCAGGCACGCAAACATGCATGTGTGCACAAACACACACACAGACACACAGGGTCTAGTTCCTCATTTAGGGTTGCTGCTGGCAGACCTGTGAGTCTGCAAGCCTTTGTGGCAGTGAGATAGATGAGGAGGGAATAGATATGCTGTAGAGCTACCATGTACATAATGATTGTTCCTCTCAGACTATGCACAACAGGGCAAGTGCCCAAAGTGGTAAACGACAGAGTCCTGGCTCTAATTTCACACTAGCATGTGAACACATGTGGCATGCTGTGTTGTTGACTTTCCTGCAAGCACACAATAGCAGTAAAAACTTGTAGGAACAGATGGGAAATGTACGAAGGGAACAAGAATTTTCAAACAGTATCATTCATATGAGAGCTGCTCTTTGTGAAACAGATTCCACAGATCATCATGTGGGAGCGGCGCACACCATCGGCTGTTTTCACTGAGACAGTACTACTCCACTGTGCGTTCCACAGCCCCAGAGCCATTCACAGTAAAATGCCTTTGCTACATGTGATGGTGAATATATTGGAATGGCGGCTGATGGATGCCAGGAATGTTTGCTTAAACAATGAATCACAGTGGGAACATTTGATTGGCTGGCATCTAAGCCCTCTCAGGATGCCCCCCACAGAGCACGGTAGAAGGATATTTGCATGTGTGTCTTTGTTTTGTGTGTGATCGTGCATGACTACATATGCGAGTGTGTGTGTGTGGTATGTATGTCTTTATGTGCAAATCAATGTGTGAGTATGTGGGAGGATGAAACTGTGGGGGCATATTTGCATGCGTCTTTGTGTGCCGGTATGTGTCACTGCATGTGTAAGTGACAGTGTGTGCATGTCTGTGTAGGCACATGTGCAGCAATGTTTAATTAAAGCATGTGTTGTCCTCTCCTCTCACACACCGGTTAGATAGAGCCTTAATTAAGGAATGCTGTTAATTAGACAAGAGAACGTGAGAATGAGAACAGGCAAGACAAGAGCAGGGCAGAGGGAGATGCAGGGAGGCAGCACGGGGCACAAGAAGGAGTTGGTTGAAGGCGTTCAAGAAACTATGTGTAGGGTGTTCATCTATGTGTAGTGTCTGTCCCAGTTAGGTCATTCCTCAGAGCAACAGAATGTTGTTCTGCTCCATGTGTGCAGCCCCAAACTCTGCTACAGCAAAACTCTCCTGCTCATTCTCCTCTTCCTCCACTGCTTCTTCTGCTACTTCTCCCTCTTCTTGTTTCATCCAACTTTTTCTCCCTTATTTTGCCCATCTGCAATCTGTCTGCTGCCTTCTCTCCATCCACTTACCATCCTTTTAATGTCTTAACTGTGTCTCGTGCGTCCCTGTACTTTTTTGTCTCTCACCCTCTGTCATGCCTTCTCACTCACTCATCTAGTGTCTTTCACTCCTTCCCCTCACCACCTCTCTTTTCCTCTTCCTCTCTCACTCTGTCCTTCTCCTTCCCTCCTAATCAGAACCATATGTTGGAGAGGGAGGCAGAGAGAGTTCTGACGATGGACAGGATCGTGTTGTATATGTGGAGTGTGGTACAGTGCTGGAGCCAGTCACGCATGTGTATGCATGCGAGGCACGCTCACTTGGATGTGTTTGAATGTGTGCACGCATGCAGTCACGTGTAAGCCTGATACAATGTGTGGTTTAGATTTCATAAGATTTCTAGCTGTCGGTACTTCCAGTTCTCCTCTGCTCTTGCTTTTCTATAATCCTCCCATAGTTCCTGTCTTTCTGTCACCTTCATCTCTCCATCCCCATAACACATCTCTATTCATTACCTCTCTGCTTCCCCCTGGTGGCTGTCATTATTCACACATTCTTTCTTGTTGCACCTCCAAGTCTAATGCTTTGTAATATATTTGAATAGTTTTGGAGACATGTGGCCTGCAGTGTCAGTATGTGTATGGCTGTCTCTATATGTGTGTGTGTGTGCTCGTAAATTGTTTCTTATAATTTCTGGATTTTTACAACATGTACATCAATTTACCTTGATTCACTCAAATATGGTAAGATTGAAAACGGTGGCGCAACTCACTCAGTCCCCTGCACAATACACAGTTCTGAGAGCCTGATCATCATTATGTACTTATGATCAACAGTGTGTGGAAATCCAGTAGAAGAGAGTAAAGTGGCACTGGTTTGTGTGTGTACCTATCATCTGCTGGTACACACTGAACTGAAACGCTGACTACATTAAAAACTTATTCTGCAAGTCATCTTCCAAAATACTTGAATCTGGTGTGAGACAGCACAGCCCTCACCAAAATGTTGATTCTCGCCTGGTCTGATTTGTGCTGGCATCATGTACTAATCTCTTATGCTCTTTTTTTCTGCTGCACCCTCCTCCACACTCATTTCCTTTTCCCTTTTCTGCTCAGTCTTTCTCTGACCTTCCTCAACTCACTGTCCCTTTCGTCTATTTGTCTGTCTTTCTGCATCTCTTTTTCTCACTCTAGCAACCATGGGCAAAAGACAGGAGCAGAGGGGAGAGAGAGAGAAGAATGTGTGCTCTCCACTGCAGTATTGATGACCCAATGATCCCCTGCAGAACGGAGCCAGTCAAGCAGACAGAGTGAGGCTCAACTCAGAATCAAAATCAGAATCAGCGCCACAACCATTCAGTAAAAGCAACCATTTGAGCAGGATATGAATGGTAATTGTAATCTAATGTTGTGTTACTGCTGTGTGGGTGGCACAGTTAATAAAAGTGTGTTACAGATTAGGTTTATGGCTCATTGCCAAAAATGGTGACTATTTCATTGCTCAAGCACAATTTTATCTGTGCCGCAATGCAATGTTTGATTTTTCTATGTACATGATGTTTTAGGCCTTAAAATGACCAATATATTTATTGACAAGGAGTTAAAATTAAACTGATTGAGTGCAACAAGGATGTTAACTTTTTTGTTGTAATTTTTGTCCTTAGGCTCCTGAATCTTCTTGTTAGCTGTTAGAAGACAACAGCAATAAAGAAGAAACACTCATTTACATAAAGCAGATAGCGTCCCCCTTTTTTCTCCCTCACTACCAGCAAAATCAGCCACTGAATGAGTGGCTTGTCAGAACACCTGCTTTCAGGCCAAACTGGCGGCTGTGGTGGAAATCAGGCAGAGGAAAAAGGGGGTGTGGGGGGCCTGGAGGAGCTGGAAGGGCCTGAGCTCTGGACCAGGGAGCTCAGGCTCCAGGAGGGGTCCCAGGATCCCTCTAACGATGGACTGGCACCGGTGACCTCTGACCACATTCCTCCATCCCCTTCTTCTGCCCTGGCCAACGGCCTCCACTTACAGAGAAGGCTGGGGCACAACACCTGTCGGCGGAGGCAGACAGAGACTCATATTACCGCTGAGACCCATACTTTTTCAGAGACGTTTAGAAACATGCAGACACACATAGACTCAGATGTGAACGAACAGGCTGTTTTGCATGCACACACAGATGTCAATGCACATACGGGTTGTGTAGGGCCAGAACACCCAAGAACTCTCACACCAGAGGCCATACACACAACCTCACCTCAACCCCTGTCTTTGGTGCTTGGCAGTCATCCTGCCTCCACTAATCAGCTGGCAGCCCCAGTCCTTGCTGCAGAAACAGACATGCCAGCAACCTTCTGTCCTGTACCTATTAGTCCAAACCCAAACACAGGCTCTGCTCCTCTTCCTGTGGAGGCAGAGAAGAAGTATGCACTCCGTAGCTCTGGACGTCCCCGTTTCCCTTGTCACCTGCGCAAATCCTCCCGCCTCCGCCGAAGCATAGAGGATGGGGAGAAGAGAACAGGGAGGGAGCGGAGAGGAGAGGAGGAAGATGAAGTATTAGAGGAGAAGATCTGGAGGGTTAAAGAGGAGGAGGTGGCAGTTAGCCAGACAGAAGAGCATTCATCTGTGGAAGCTGTTCTCCCCATAACTCCCTGCACTACAGAGATTGCTCTCGCTCTTACTGCATCCAAACCTCTCCCTAAACCTGTACCTAAACCTGGGCCCAGACTTGGGCATAGGCCTGGACCTAAATCCAGATCTAGACCTGCACCAAAATCTGTACAAAAAGCAGGCCCTAAAAGTGTCATGAAACAGCGTCAGGCAGCCCAGTCCATTCCTCATCGTATCACCCCCCATCTCCCTTTTGCAAACGCATCCACAATCCCTGCACCTCTGCTAACTGTGAAGGAGGAACCTGTTGCAGAGTTGGGTGTATGTCCTCCCAATAACCAGAGACGTGGACGTTTTGTTGGCGTAAGCTAATTTATAGTTTTAGTTTTACTTTATAGGTTACTGTAGTAACTCCTTGACAAAACAAATCATGTGTGAATCATGTTCAGACAATTTGCATGTGTTTTATGTTTATCTTTGTTTTACAGGTGAGGAAGATTGTTGTCAAAGTGGCTCGTATTCCTGTCAGTCTTAGCCGTCGACAGAAGAGCTACAAGATATCCAATTTAGAGACTGTTACAGGGACAGAGAAAAGCAGTGACGGTGGTTTGGAGGGGTCAGAGGCAGTT